GGCGCCTGGGTCACCGCAGCCTCCAGCCACTAATCTGATCCCTTCCGCGGGGGAGGTGGGGGGGGTCAGACCCGGCAGCGCCTGCTCTCCCAGGGAATGCTTTGGGAGGGTCGCTTCGGGTTTGTGTGAGGTGGTGCACCTTCAGAACGCTTTTAATAGGCGTTGGGGTAGACTGTTTAGTTTTGTTTTGGTTTTAGTTCCGATTCGGTAACTGTTGTGTAAAGAGACCGGGCTTCTGAATTCTGTAACTGACACATCCTTTTCAGGCATAATTAATATGCTTATATGACTTATGTGATCCTTAATTTTCAAGTCCGAGAACTTCATGCTTCATGTGGTAAAAGTGGTTGTAGAAGTGGTGCTCAGCTCCTTGCACTTCACTACTGCTTCGTCTTTGGGGGGAAAAAAAAAATTGTGCTAAACGCTAAAGAAACATTGAGTAACCACATTTTTCTTCTGTCAGAGTTTGGCATTAGTCTGCTTTCAGATTTGTAGATCACCAGCTCCTTAGAGGTCCCATGGTGTAACGGTAAACACTCTGGTCTCTGACTCCAGCGATCTGAGTTCAAATCTCAGTGGGACCTCAAGATTTTGTCTCCCTCGGGGCTTTCTGAGCATGCTTACACTTTGACAGCCTTACTTTTATCCTGGAGAAGAGAAGGCTGTGTGGAGACTAGCCAAGGAAAAATGGGCTGTCTTTGAGCAAGACTTGGTGATTTGGGGAGCTTGGCTCTTTTGCATATACCAAAACAAAGCAAGAAGTCTTTTGAACAGTATGTGTATGTGAGATTGAAAGGATTTTAAAACAATCCGTAAATGGGAGATTATCAATAAGAACTGTTACTGGCAATAAAGCCGATTTGTGACACCTGACACCCACATTAATAGCCAGACAACCCAGTTGTCTGGCTCAGATAAGCTTCCAGCTGCCTGTCTGTCTCAAAATTCTGTTTTCTAAGCTACACTTTACCAATAAGGCATTTTCAGGAGTTGTATCATGTCAGCTGCTAATCTGTTTTGTAACCTCAAGTATTGTTTTTAACGGTAGTTTTTCAATCCTCTTTTTTGTTGTTGTTATTTACTAACCAAAATGCCTGTGCTGATTTTATTTTGGGGGGGCAAGTGGCAAGTCATTCAGCTTTCACAAAGGAATTTTCCATTGCAAGTGTTAGTTTAAACTGGGAGGGCAAGCTGAGAAAAGATTGAATGGGTAAGGCAGTAGTCTGTCCTGTTATGGTGAGTTTCTTGTTGGTAGAAAATGTTACTTATGGTGGTATCTTCCCAGTAGAAATCAATTATGCTGGATTTCTTTATTATACAGGAATGAGCTTTCAGTGGACAAAACTAAAAAGAAGAAAAGAAGAGAACTGACTGAGGAACAGAGGCAAGAAATCAAAGATGCCTTTGAGTTGTTCGATACAGACAAAGATAGAGCAATAAATTATCATGAACTAAAGGTAAAAGTGTTTTTTTTTTCATTGAAACAATTTTATGGCAGACAAAATATATCTGCTTCTTAGTGAGTTTTTAAGATGTTGGTTGTATCTTTCAAAAACGCTCCGTGTTCAAGATCTCTTGCAGGGCTGAAGGAGTGAAGGATGTTCAGGGGGGTAAAAAACCTAAAATACTGCACTGCTGTAAGAGTGAACTTTTCTTCCCACACTATATACTTGACACAATAACAGAATTTCTGTAGCGTTCTGCATAACACTGGTTTGAATGCTCTGAGGGTTTACGTTAGACAGGTGGCTTAAGTAGGTAAAGCTCTTGAAAAGCTGTTTGCTTCTTTTTAAAGGCACTGAATGATCTGAAGCTTGGTGAAAACCTGTGAAAATCCACAGGTTTCAGATGCTTAGGTAGAAGTTGTAAATCAAGTCTGTAAAACTGTTGACTACAAGCCAGAGCTTACCCACTTACGTCTTTCAACAGAGAACCCATGGATTGTAGGCATGAGGTGTGCTATTTGCTGTGCGTGTGGAGGCTCAGCAGTTGCCCTTGCCAATGAAGGCTTCTCCTATTACCAGCTATCAGCAAACAGAGGTTACATCAGTCTTTCGTAGAGACTTCTCCCATTTGCGAGTCTCAAGAAGTAGAACATGAAGTTTATTAAACCCTCTAAATCTTTTTATAAATTTTTATTCTAATTGTACTGCATCAAGAACAAAAAGTGGCTTTGGAGAGGCTAGTGTTTCTGAAATGTATTGGGTGAGATTCTTTTGGGAAGGAATGCCTAGATCAATCTGGTGGCTCCATGTTCTGTCTTTACCAAGTAACTCAAGGAGAATGGGGGGGAAAAACCAGGAGAGTCTTATTTTTACTTTAGTTGCTGTGTAAGGAACATCTTAGGTGCCATATCTTTATTTCAGACTTCGGGTATTTTATCTCTGCTGGAAGCCAAATTGAGCAGGGAGTGCTAGGGACTGTTTTGGTGACTTTTTCGACTTACGCATGCTTTGAATTTCCAGCTGTCATGATTACTTGCAAAGCTGTTTTCTTAGCTGTCTAAATAAATGTTGTGGCCCTGAAGATAATGCTACAGAGGAACAGAAATAAGTAAAAACCTGTCATCTTCTCTACAAAATCAGTGGTTTCCCACTTCTGGTTTAGTATATGTTTGTTGGTTTATAGGAAGTCAGTGTAATGTTTGCTGAGAATTTGCCATCTCAGTTGAAATGGGAAACTAAAGGTGTACTCCCAATCTAATGGAAAAAGAAAAAAAGAATTGATTTATGTTTTTCACTGGAAAAGCAGTAAAATCACTTGTAAACCCATAAACGTATATACCTGCCCATGGCAGGGGGTTGGAATTAGATCATCTTAAGGTCCTTTCCAACCCAAACGATTCTGTGATTCTATATACACTTAGTTTGAATACTGAGTAAGAATAATTTGAAGAATGGAAGAATGTTTTTCAGTTTTATCTTTAAAAAGGGTCAGTACTTTAAATGTTTTGGAAATGAGGAAAATAGATCAATTTGTCCTGAGAAGCATGTAGTCCAGTCTGTAAAATCCCTGAAAATGGAAAGACTGGGTTTTTTCATTGTAACTTCATGTTTCATTTGCTACTACGAGTTTTAGGTGATTTTTTAAATACAAAACTTTTTTTTGTTTGTTTTTGTTATTTATTATGGTTGCTAAACCACTGGTATCTATCCTCTCTCTTGGGCAAGAGGGTAACTACTGAAAATAAAAAGAAATCTGTGAAATCTGTATTTTAATCTTCATATATGGTTGCACTTCCACTTTATTCCAAAAGGTGGCAATGAGAGCCTTGGGTTTTGATGTGAAAAAAGCTGATGTCCTGAAAATACTTAAAGATTATGATCGAGAAGCAACGGGCAAGATCACCTTTGAAGATTTTAATGAAGTTGGTATGTGTTTGATTGTGTACCTTTAGAGAAATTTAGTCCATAGAAGTGGTTACAGTTTTGAAACAGTACTTCGTCTACTCTTTCAGTTATCTAGTACTATTAGAAATAGAAGAGGGGGATTTCATTTCATGTTTTTCTTAGTAAAAGTCAGTACTGGAGGAAAATAAATCTTTGTATTGTGAATACTCAGTTTGATGTGTAGAGATGAATGTATAAAAGGAAATAGAGTATACACAGTCCTAAACTTTTTCAAACTTACACAAAGGAATAAATGCTAACTGAAAACGTAGATAATTCTTATGTTGCTTATGGATGTTGTAGGATTCTCCTTCCTGCTATGGAAAAAGTATTTGACATACTATTTCATGGGAAGGAGGGTATACACAGACAAACTGCAAACTGAGTACAGACTTCGCACATAACAAAGATAAGAGAAATTGAAGCAGATGTTAAATATTGTACTTCAAGGATTTTCAACTGTTGATAAAACCAGTGGAATTTCATTAAGCTGCTTCTTTCATCTGAAGATTGATTATTGCACAGTTTGACATACTTTGAGTATGTACTGATTGCAGGATTTTAAAAGATGAGTTTAACTTTCTTTGAAGATATACACAATTTGTGTTTACCAGAGGGGGGGAAAAAAAAAAAGAAAAGCTATGTGGGATTACTCAGTGTATGGCTTTATATCTCAAGTTTTATTATTCCAGTCTATGTGTTCAAGGTATTCGATTCCTTTAAATTTTCTGAAAAACTACCCTCAGTGTAGTGCCTGTGTATTTGATCCTGATTATGAGTAACAATCTGTTTAAAGTGTCAAAACAGTTACTGGTTCAAATGTGGCAAATTTTAATGACCTAACAGGTTAGGGTTAGAGAAAGTGTGCAGTTAACGACAGCAAGTTGTATGTCAGAAAAGAACTAAAAATAAAGCCTTTGGGGAAATACACGTGACCAGTCCTGATTTAATCAAAACAACAACACAACAGATAAACAAAACACAACCAAATAAGAAAAGTTAGCATATGAATAGTAATAAAATTATAATTACATCATTATGCTATAATATTATAGGATTGAATCTTGTGTAATTACTTTTTAATTCCTGATGTTCAGTCCTGTATTTTTCATTCCTGGATTCCTGGTTCTGCCCTGGCTTCACTTTGGGCAGTCAATATGTGCTTTGAGAAGCTAGGAATATTCTTGTAGGAAGCACAATATATACTGGGAAGGTGGTCAAACCTGTCCCAAAACTTGAACTGGATTTGAGTGCTGCTGTGATGCAATATGACCTTGACACAGAATTAAACATGATACCACTTGTAGCAAAAAGATTAGGGAGTTAGAGAAAATAAGTTATAGAAGTTTCAATTGTGAAGAGCTGCTGAACAGAGCTAAGCAATTTTTGAGCTGTCAGTTTTTCACAGTCTAATGTTCATCATGCCTTTAAATGTAGGAATGACCCGTCTGAAATGTATAAAGATGTAATTACATTTTGTTTGGTTTTATATTGATTATGTTACGTGTAGTACTAGAGACCTAGTGTTTTATTGTTCTTCAGCTAACATTGCAGTTGTCTTTTTGACACAAAAGGTAGACTTTTTCCAGTGATGTAATGCTGTCATGTGAAGTTGTTTTAAGTGAAAATACTTGAATTTAGTACAAATCTGAGTTATTTATGTAGACATAAAAAGTTCATTGCTGTAGTGAGCTTGTATGAGCTTGAATCAAATTCTTTCCTGTCAAGTTTGCCACACCAGAGCAGGTGTTCATCTGCAGACAGTAGCAGATGCTGAGTGGTTCTCCAACCCCCTCCAAATAGGGTTAATATGTTTTTAATGGCTCGGTAAATGTCAGAAGCAGCAAGCTCTGTAATACAAGACTAGCAGGTAAAAGATGTGAAGATGTATTACAGTTGATTCATCTGAAATAATTAGTAGGAAATATTTGATGTGGCAAGTTTGTCTTTTCTGTTACAGAAACTGACAAGTGGTTGTGATAAAAGGAATAATAAAGACTAGTTAATCCTTTCAAAATTAACATCTTGTAATTCATGGCAGTGCCCTTTTCATAACCCCTGGGCTTAGGGGTTTGGGTTGGTTTTTTTTTCTGTTAGTTTGGATTTGTATATGTCCTGGGTTCAGCTACAGCAGTCATTTTTTCTCCTTCTTAGTAGCTGGTGCAGTGCTGTGTTTTTGACTTTCAGTCTGGGAACAACGCTGATAAAACCGATGTTTTTAGTTGTTGCTAAGTAATGTTTACTCTGACCAAGGACTTTCTCAGTCTCATGCTCTGCCAGAGAGGAGGGGAAGCCAGGAGGAAGCAGAGGCAGGACACCTGACCCAAACTGGCCAAAGGGGTATTCCATACCACAGCACGTCATGCCCAGTATATAAACTGGGGGGAGTTACCCGGAAGGCCCAGATCGCTGCTCGGGTCGGGCTGGGTATCGGTCAGCGGGTGGTGAGCGGTTGTGTCCTCTCCCCTTGTTATTCCTCTTATCATTATTATTGGTGGCGGTAGTGGTTTGTATTATACCTTAGTTACTGGAGAGCTGTTATCTCAACCCGTGGGAGTTACATTCCTTCGATTCTCCTCCCCATCCCTCCGGGAGCGGGGGGAGGAAGGAAAAGGGGGGGAGTGAGCGAGCGGCTGCGTGGTTCCAAGTTGCCGGCTGGGCTTGAACCACGACAGTATATAAAAGAGACGTTCCATGTGAATATTTTTCCTTTCTTAGTGTTTCAGTCTTCTCTCCAAGTCAAAATTCTATACCGATCAAAACATATAAAATAAAAAAATAATTATATGTTTTCATCTGTGAAAGGTGATGGTTTTTTTTTTCTGAAAGGTAAGTTTGGAACAGACGAGGTATGTGTATACTTTTAGTAACTATTGAAAAGTGTGTTGGAAGCATGGCTGTGTCTAAGTTGCCATATAGCTTTCCACTGCAACAGGTATGTCCCAAAGAGAAACTTCTTTGGAGTTTGAGAAAAGAAAGATGAGAAAGAGAGGTAAAATATCAGCCAAACAAATATGTGTGTTCAGTTGAAATATGTAAAGATGAAAGAAAGGGTGAAATCAGAAGAGTATGTTCTTCATACTGCCTCAGTCTGTTAAGGTCGTTCTGAGTTTATCCTTCACAGTACTTTAGTCTAACTTCAGTATCCTTCTTGCAGTGACAGACTGGATATTGGATAGAGATCCACAAGAAGAAATACTCAAGGCATTCAAATTGTTTGATGATGATGACTCTGGTAAAATAAGTCTGAGAAACCTGCGCCGGGTTGCTAGAGAACTGGGTGAAAATATGTCAGATGAAGAACTACGGGCTATGATTGAAGAATTTGATAAGGATGGAGATGGAGAAAGTACGTATTAGCAAACAAAAACTGAAATAGTCTGCTCTTGATTTTCTCCACTTTTTAAATGTGCTTATGTCCTTTTAGGTTTTTTTCTAAATAACTTTCAGCTCAAACTTACTTTACCTTACAGATAATGGAAATTATTGGTTTTGACAGCTACCTGTCCTGGAAATGCATATTTAAGTCTAAAAATCAAGCTGATTTCTCAAGTTTATTCATCACTAACTTTTATTCAGCCAATTATTAAAAGATAGGTGACAATGTACTTGAAGGTGAAAGTAACTGAACCAGTACATGGGAGGTTCGGTGGACCAATATCACATTTTAATTTCCTTATAAATCAGTGAAAGGACTAAAGTGCTAAGAGAAATCTTTTTGATCACCTAGTCAGTATTTCTCAGGTGATGTGCCTCTGGTGATTTTGGCATGTTAGTCAGATTTGGGGTATTGAGCTAATAAATTATGCTGGATGTACCTGGGTCTATGCAGGATCAGCTGGGATGGGTCAAAGTGCTGAAAAGCATAGCATAGCATGAAAAATGGGTCTGGCAGCTGACAAGGTCCCTATAGACTGAGCTGCAGGAGGGAGCTATTAGCTAGATAAAGAATGAGTTAGCAAATCCAGTTTATACTTGTTAAATTTTCATGAACACTAAAACATAGGTTGTTTTCATTAAACTGAAAAGCACCCTTATGTTTACATCAGAAACAGTAATATCTGAGTTTCAGGGACCAGTCGCTTGAGACCATGTACCGGAACACTGCACTTTTAACAGTCATCAAATCCTACTTCCGAGTTTTTCTTTCAGGATGGTGACTCATGTCTGAGCTTTCACTAGCATTTCATCAACTTTTCAGTTACAATAGTATGTCTGCTTGTGAGCTGCTGCATCTGTTGGGCTCAACCGTCACTACTAGTGGAAAAAAAAATTGCATCTCAGCCTTGTGACCGACACCCCTTCCCCCTAAACTATTTGCTGTAGATGTTATTCCATGCTTGGGAATACAATTACTTAAGTGCTGAAACAACCCCTTTTCTTTCAAGAGATCAGTGGTGTGGAATTGCACACCTTTTGGAGACAAAGGTAGTGAAAGGTCAGTGATTCAACTGCCAGAGATGTGTTAAAGCTGACACTGTTATTACTAAAGTAAGTGCTGGGGTCAAGCGTGTGATTTCTTTCCTTTTGAAGCTGTTGTTTTCTGGTATTGGTCTGTGGTCTGAGGCCATGGTTCCTTAATAAATCCATACTACATAATTGCAATGTTCCTCCACACTCCCAGCTGTGTCTTCCCACCAGTTTCTCATACTGGCAGGATCTGATCCCACAGGCAAGATGTTTTAAGGAGGCTAAGCTAGGAGAAAACTATTCATTTAGGTTTTTAAGTGTTGTTTTTCTCGCTGGTTAGATCCCTGAACTGTCTTGCATCTTGATCAGATTTTGTTGGAGCTGCATTTGAGAAAACAGATTTTGGGTTTTTTCTTGTTGTTTCCTATAGGATAATTGAAGCAGGTCAGTGTAGTGAAAGCTGGAAAGCCTTTTTTTAGGGACTTATCTGTGTGCAGTGACACACAGGATTGCAGCTGTGAATTCTGGTAGACCATAGGATACCTATTTACTTGTCAGTAGCAGGCAAGGAGTGTTCTCTGTTTTCTCAATCCGTTAGATAAATTGCTGGTCTAGGTTAAGTACTTTCATTTTGGCTTGTTTTGCTTTTAATAGGTAGAGTTGTATTGCTAGCTTTCCTTTATTTTAAAGTGTAGTTGTAGAGGTGAGCGAGAGTAGAAGTAATCTTCAATCACATTTTGTTCTGTGTCTGGGAGCTGCCAACTGAGATGTCAGAATCGTGGATCAAGGTTGTTTGTTTTTTTTTTTTTTTTTTTGTCATGTGGCTATTTGGTCACTATGAGTTGAATGTAGACCGTTAGGTCTTTTCAGGAAGGTTACTGAGTCATAATTATTTTGTAATTCAGATTGATCAGCTAAGAGTGGGTGGCTCAGTTTCCTCTTATTCATTCATCCATTCCTTCTTGTTGTTAGGGCAATCAAGCATGAGATCGAATGTGGAAGATTGACAGCATAATGTTTGTATATGGTGCTGTTTATCCTTAAGGTTCTGTGTGTTTTCTGTCTTTAAGGAAAACTGATGCTGTTTCTAGCTTTTTAACGTTCATTCTGAAAAACTGAACAATCCTGTGAATTGCTGTTCCATTTAGTTTCAAACATCTGGGCCATGTAACATAATCTTGCTTTCATCTAACTACATGTTTTCCTGCCCTCCAAAATATAAATATCTGAAACTCTTAGGTGATACTTCAAATACAGGAATAATATCACTTGGTTTAACACCCTTCTTAGATATAATTTGCTCACAGTGAAATCAGGTCTGTTTTGTGATACCCAAGCTAGTTGAACCCTTGGGTTTTCAGCAAAACCTCTAAGCTGTACAGGTACACTGTAGGTAAATTTCTGTAGAAATAAGTATTTTTTACATATTTCTGTCTGCCTTAAAAACGTAAGTAATCTTATTTTTGTATTTCTGGTCTTAAGGAATGACTTCTGTTTTGGAGTGTATTTTGAGAAACTCCATGCTGTCAGTTCATGCAGCTTTTATTGTCTTGTGTGGATGCATCTGTAGGAAATAACGATCCAGTTTTAGGTCTCAGATTTTGGCACCGAATTAGGGAAAAAAGCCAAGAACAAAACCCTCCACTGGAATAATACACTCGTTTAACTCTCCAGAGCCTAAGTCAACATCTTCTTTATATTAGCTGTGATACTAGTTTGTTCTTTTGTGATCATTTATGTCATGGAGTTGAGGGAAATCTCACATTTGGAAAGATGGTGATTGCTTATTTCATTGTGCCTAACTTGTGAACAGATCCTAAGGCTGAGCAGGATTAACTGGGTTACTGGAAATTGTAACTACACTTTTCTTTGCAGTTGGTTTGAATGTTACAAAATTTGCCTGTCATTATAATGCTGTATTTCCACTTTGTGGCATTGTTTAACAACGATATTTTAAACCAGAGAATATTTTGAGGAGGATGTTCGTATTTGTGCTGTTCCTGTGCTGTTATTGTGATAAAGCTGTGGAAATGCTTTTCAAAGTCATACAGTCAACATTATGCTTATGTGTAGTAGAACACGATGTAGCTATATGAGGGACTGATATTTCACAGCATAGAGGCCTAACCTAAACTAAATCTACTTGTTTAATATTTTTTTACTTGTGCTGCAACAGGGCAGATTTAGGTTTATTTTCTATTTATTCTTTAACATAGTTGGACTTGTTTGATTTTCCTCTAGCTGTAGATGTAGCTCTTACTAGTGCTTTGTTTAGGAATAGTTTGGGCACATTGGCTGCGACAAATAATTGTCAGGGAGAATTCTTCATACATGTCTGGCCTTTTCCATACCACTGATTTACTCTAATCATTCTCACTACGGTAATTAGTTAGAGACTGAACATATTCATTGGTTAACTCTTTTTATGGTGGCTCTGTTTTAGCATATGAGCAAGGTCAATAGCTCAGGTATAAGTGCAGCAAAATAATTAATGACTGCTAATTAATTTATTATTATGACTTAATTTCTTTGAGTACATTTGTGTGAAATTTCTGTTAATTATAACTGAAGAATGAAGAAAGTTCAGATGGGGAAAAGCTTGTTGAAAGTCCATTTAATTCCAGTAAATTTATGGAATCATTAGTAAATGATCTTAAAATTCATTTTGTATTTGGCAAGTGTTACAGGTTTGAGAGAGGAATTTCATGTTTTGGTTGGGTAGTTTGGACATAAATGTTTGAATCATGATTTCAAGAACAAAACTGAATTTGATCATAACTGGAGCTGCAATATTGTTGCTTGAGAAGCACTTATTAAATAAAACTTTAATAATGGAGGATAAATTTTTATACTAAAAAAATCAATACTAAAGTATTATGTTTTTGAAAAGCCATCTTATTAACATACTTTTATGAGTGTTTTGGTTTTCTTTCCATCTTGTTTTACTTTTCAAATACTTTTACTTTCATAGTTACAAGTAATAGCTTGTTATATGTGAGATAGATTCTGGCTTAAGTTTTTAAGCTTGCATTCTGACTTTTCCATGCTGAAAAAAAGTGAGGTTCTAGAAACAAAAAAAACAGACTTGTAAACCCTGACTAGTAATGGATCAGGCGCAGCTAATACTGACTGGGAAACCTTTTAAGCAAAATGCATAATACAGAAATGCATTATTTTGTGGTTTGTGGATGTTTGCAGTTTGTTTAACAAATTTTCTCCTTTTCTGCAGTCAATCAAGAGGAATTCATTGCTATTATGACTGGAGATATATAGCATTAGAAGAAAAGAAGTGAACTCAGCACAAAAGGGAGGAGTCATTGGCAGCTTCCATTACAATGTTTTCTACTTCCATTCTTTTCTGTAGCTGGAGTGATGCAGAAAATTACTTTCTTCAAAATAAAGACAGGTTATACACACTGATAGTTCAGTACTTTCTATCACTAAATATTATCACTAGAATAATTGATACATCATTTTAGAACAAGTAAGCAAATGCTGCATTTCAGAATGTTTGAGTAGTCATTTGTAAAATAGCTTTGTATAAGATTTCTAAATTGTTTCATAAGAACCTTTTGAAGTTGATTGTGTTAGCCTTAGTTTTGATACATAAGGCTTGACAAACTTCCATTTAGTAAAATGTTCTTTTACTATTGCTACTTGAAAGTAGGGGTTTTTTGGTAGTTTAATCTGAACTGGACTATAATGTAAAATCCCACAGGGCAAACAGTATTTTTTTTCACTTACAGGCTTTTACTTCCACTGTTCTAGATGAACGGTAACATTAAATGAGCAAGCATTTACATCTTCAAAGATTCGGTTTATTAACTCTGTATTACCGCTGTGTGATAGCAAAGCACAGGCAATATACAATCATAGAATAGCTAGGGTTGGAAAGGACCTTAAGATCATCTAGTTCCAACCCTCCAAATAGGCATGATGATAAACTGCATCAAACTGACTCGAGATGTCAGCTGCCAGATCTGAGAGCTATGGAGACAGTGACAGCTGTTCATGATGAGTAGGTGCTCTTTCTGCAGTACTGAGTTAGAAGAAAAGCATCACAAGGAATGAACTTTTAAAGTAGTTGAAGAGACGATGTGTTTCTAGTTTACCAGGTGTCTTCCAAAAAAATTTTTGTGGGTTGCTCTTCTCGATTTTCTGTATATTGGTTGTAGTTTCTTATTTTTTGAATTTCTCTCTCCTTCTACATAAAAAAAAATGTACCTTCAAATCTTTGTTAATCCTGTATTTATTGTCAGAAAAACAGCTGCTTTTAACTGTCAGTAATCCTGGGGTTATGAACAGGTTTGCCCTGCACAGACAATCAGAGCTTAGAAATTACTGAAGACAGAAGTTGAGGTCATCAAAGTTAATAGATTTTTCCTGTTATTTTTGAGTGGGTATTGTGCCATTCTTATCTGTGAAATACTGTGTAGCTCTCTATTAAGCCATCAATATCAATCATACAGAAAGTTGCAGCAATTCAAAATGATTAGCAGTGGCTCTACAGAAGTATAGAATTACAGACTGGTTTGGTTTGGAAGGGACCTTAAAGCTCATCCAGTTCCAATGCCACGGGCAGGAGCACCTTCCACCAGAGCAGGTTGCTCCAATCCCCGTCCAACCTGGCCTTGAACACTGCCAGGGACGGGGCAGCCACAACTTCTCTGGGCAGCCTGTGCCAGGGTCTCAGCACCCTCACAGGGAAGAACTTCTGCCTAAAAGCTCATCTCAGTCTCCCTTCTTGTCAGGTCAAAGCCATTCCCCCTTGTTCTGTCCCATCTGCGTGGCCTCCTCTGGAGTCTCTCCAACAGCTCCATGTCCCTCTTGTGTTGTTGCCTCAGAGCTGGATCAGGACTGCAGGGGGGGTCTCCCCAGAGCACAGCAGAGGGGGAGAATCCCCTCCCTCGACCTGCTGCTCACGCTCTGGGGGTGCAGCCCAGCACACGGTGGAGGTTCTGGGCTCAAGCACACACAGGTCATGGGGAGCTTCTCAACACCCAAGATCCCCAAGTCCTTCTTCTTGGGAAGAATATATCCATATAACTTAACCTCCTTCGTGTAACTGTTTGAGTATTATCTACAGATAACTCGTGTAGAACCCCAGTGGGCTCTGTGGCCATCAGCTGGGATTGTCCTGCTGGATCATTCTCAGTTAGAGACATGTCTTTCTAAAAGCCTTTGCTAGGAAAGGACGTTTCTTCCCATTGAGATTTTTTCTTTTTTTTTTTTTTTTTTTTTTTTTTTGATATGCAAATATAATTGGGAAAATGGTAGGGATACAATTAATATGATATTTGTGGGAATGGATGAGTAGTTAGTATTTGTCTGGGAAACCGAAGTCTTCTTGATGTTCAGTTAGTATCTCAGTCTTAAAATTTGAGTGAAACTTCCTCTGTGCTCTGTCAGAGGATTTTATCAACAGGTTCCTGCTCAAAAAGTGAACAGCATGAAGTATTTGCAGGATGAAGATTGGTGTTTATGGGGAAAAATTCTGCTATGGCTAGTACAGACATACTTTATTTCTTCTATATGAATTTCAGTATAATAGTTGATAAAGAAGAAAAATAAGAGCTGAAGGATTTCTACCAAGCAAGAGAGAATCTTGCTTTGGAATAAATGCAGCAAACCTTGCAAGTCAAGTAAAATGCTTTTGAACCCAAAAGCAAAAAAAAGTGACATAAAATGTAATACTTACTTAAAAACCCCCTACATTTACAACATGCTCCTAACCAATATTTTCTAGGAACAATACTAGAATTGTTCAGTATTTTCGGGCTTTGCTTTTAAGTTCTTATGTGAACTATTTCACAGACTTTTTTTTCTGCAGACAGTGAAAGTGATAGAGACTCTAAAAGGTCCCTTAGTAGTCATCAAAACACTTTTTCCCCAAGAATCATACCTTTATTCTGAACGTGCCAGTTTTCTAATACTCTGCTGTGAGGCTTTTACAGGAATATTACTGTTCTGTTCCTCTGTAGATGGCTGGTAATTATCTCTTGATAGGTGCCACTTTCTGTTTGCAACTGCCAGCAAGATGCACTTTCGTCTCTTCTGGGTTGAGGCCTCATTTCTTGCTTGTTTGCAGTGTGCTTGGGAAGCCTTGCTTTGTACTTGTAGATGTGCAGTGCTTTAAGGGCTAGATAGCAACAGTGTAACGCTCCATGAGCACAGGCCAGTGAACTGGAGACATCCGTTAAGTTGCTCACACTGGGAGTGGTGCAGAAGAAAAACTATCATTGTAGTGTTTAGTGATATTGTTTTAATGTTTGGCTTTGCTTTTTCTCTACATTTCATTGTTTGGAAGATTTTTTTGCATTCCAAACCCGTACTTGGTTTGTGCTGATGACTGGTGAGCTTCTTGCTGTTTTATGTACTGGGTTTGCTGTGATTTCTGTTGGTTTTTCTTCATATTCACTAACTAACTGTGACAGATTGGAGTCCACAGCGTGGTAAAATCTGATCTCTGAGTTTAGCACTGCCTGCTTGGTTCCAGCATTGACATGTTCAACTCTGTGTTGTGGGGCTCACACCCATCCTTGTGCTTTCTTTGGTAGTTCGCTTGGTGTGTCATAGGATAGAGACTCCCAGTTTCTGACTTTTTATTCATTGTCTAGAGAGCCATTTGGTGGCTCATTTAAATCGTGTTTTGTGCAGGACAGTATCAAGTTTCAGCAGTCATTATACATTTAAAAGCTGCATTATGAATGGTTGCCTCATTTCTAGGCTTGCAGAGGTGGGTTAAGGTCTGCTCTGAAGTACCTGGGGCAAATGCTTCTCTGTTGCCTCTGCTATGGAGGGCAGTGATGTCTGGTAGTAGTAAAAAACTGGCAGCTAAGGGAATGTCATAAAGCACTGCACTGAAATCCACTGGAGCCTCTCTGGAAGCTTACAGCAACAACAGTTTAACTGTTCCAACTAGTCCATCACTTCCCTAATTAATCCCATGCAACTTTGAGGGAATTGAGAACATCCAAACAAATAACACCACGTCAGAGTACAGTGTATACCAAATGTTACTCTGCTGACTTATCTTAGAATGGTCTTTTCAATGCTAATTTTGTCACATCAGACATTTTTGGTTTGTGTTTATTCACAGAAAGGTTTCTGTGCACAGTTCAGTCATCAGAAGTCAGAAAATGCCAGTGTGAAGGTTACGTGTGCCTCATAATAAGGATGCTCTGCCTGAGTTTGGAGACACCTCCCGAGCACTCTGGTGACGTGGCTTTCTTCACCACATGCCTTGCTTCCCTTGGAGCTCGACAAAGAGGAAAAGGAAAACCACGACAACTTGGCTGGCAATAGAATGGAGGCCAAAGAGGCAATTTGTGAAGGGAAACAAGGGCAGAGGCACTGGGAAGAGACTTAGCTGATCCCAAGCTCAGAGCAGGACCGGGGATCTGTGCTGAACCACACTAGTGTCTGTGTAATGGGAACAGCAGCCTGAAGGTCAGGGCATCTGTGTCCATGTCGATTGCCCTCCCCTGTGTGTGGTGGTTATGGTGTGAAGCTGTGTGTGGAGAAACCCCTCAACTTCTAAACTCTGTCTGGAGAAAGTTTTGAAGGCTATGTGGCCCCCGACACAAGAGGGATGTGGAGCTGTTACAGCAAGTCCAGAGGAGGTCACGGAGATGCTGTGAGGGCTGGAGCAGCTCTGCTCTGGAGATAGGCTGAGAGAGCTGGGCTGGTTCAGCCTGGAGAAGAGAAGGCTTCTTAAGGGGACACCTTAGAGCAGCTCCAGTGCCCAAAGGGGCTACAAAAAACCTGGAGAAGGGCTTTGAACAAGGGCCTGTAGGGATAGGACAAGGGGGAATGGCTTTAACCTGACAGAAGGGAGACTGAGATGAGATCTTAAGCAGAAGCTCTTCCTCTGAGAGTGGTGAGGCCCTGGCACAGGTTGCCTGGAGAAGCAAATATGTGGAGAAGAAATACGTGGAGTTCTGGGATGTTGCACCTTAGTAAACTTGGTTAGCAGAGCTTTTATCACAAATTACACAAGAACAGAGGACAAGGTTAGCTGCACTAAACCCAGTTGCCCCATGGCTTTCTTGTGGTAGTTCATAACCCCTCAGAGCACCAGAGTTTTTTGTCACCTTGCCTCTGGTGGACACACTGCTTGCATCAGTAATCCTAACTTTTGTTTGTCAAACCGGTTCCTGTTAAGTAAGCTGCTATTAAGCAGGTAACAGCTGTGACTGCTACTTGCCTTACTGCATACAGAACCAGATCTGAAGTTAGAGCTGCGCTTCTCTGACTTTTCCTTTAGGTCAAGAGTTTATAGAAGACAGTGGCTCGTACTTGGAAAGCTTCTGCAGAAGTCATTTTCTGTAGTGCTCTTGGAAGAGGGAAAATTGCCACTGAAGTAAGTCTGTAGGGATGCTGAGAATGTTTTCATCCTTGAGTAACAAAAGTGATTCCACAGAGGTAAGAAGAGGTCAGTGTTTTGAGTGTACCTTCACTGCTGTACACTAAGCGACAATCTGCTCAAATCCGTTCGGAGAGTTCCACTAAGGTGTCTCACACATGCAGAGAAAATCAGTAGAAACATCATAAACATCTAGAGAATCTGCAAGTATCTTAACATTTATAATAGCGCAAATGGTTCATCTGCTGTAAAACTGTTGCTAAGCAAACGGAACATGTTGGCAAT